CACCCTGCTTATACCTATTTACCGGAATGTACTGCACATTCTTATCTGCTCAACCTGCTTGGCATATGGTCATTTTTGAATTAGTTGTACCTTTAAACCCTCCATTTTCTTTGTTCCTTATGAATTATTTCGTTGGTACCTCAGATGAGCCTATTGTGAAAACATGGATACACTAATAAAGTACACTAATAAAAATACACCAATAAAATACATTAATCGAATATACTAATAAAATACACTTATAAAGTACACCAATTAAGTTCACTAATAAAGTACAATAATAAAATACACTAATAATACAATTCCTCACCCAAAGCACTGATTAGGTCTCAGCTGGTTTCCTGCTTCCTCTGTGAACACCCTCTCGCGCTTGTTTCAGGCGCTAGCCTCAGCAGATAACCAGCACGCGGGCAACCTGCTTTCACTGAGTACGTACAACCTAACCTAACGTTGAAATGCATTGATCGAAAGACGATACGTTTAAGAGGGGGTGTTAGAATAAACGTATCATCTATCTGCAACATGTACTGCGAGTAAAACTAAACTATGCGATGCGATATAAAAACTACATCGCATTCTAGCGTAACTTCTGTCTCTTGCCTTATTTCCCTGTAAGAGGAAGCACCCGCTCCTCCTATCGCTCTCTAGCTTCTTGTCTTTGGCTTGAGCAGGTTCTAGCTGCTCTTAGTTACGGTGTTAAAGTAAAACTTGGCAGAAGACTCAGTTTTTTAAGCCTTTCCTCTCAACCTGCATTCTGGCCTCTCATCCTGGATCCTGGCCTCTCAACCTGGACCCTGACTTCTAAACCTGGACCTTGGCCTCTTTATCTCGACCCTGGCTGGCCTCTCAGTTTAAACCTTGGTCTCTCACCCTGGACCGTGGCCTCTCAACCTGGACCCTGGTCTCTCAATCTCGAACCTGGCCCATCAACCCGGACCCTTGCTTCTCAACCTGGACTTTGGTTTCTCAGCCTCCACTCTAGCCTCTCAAAATTGAACCCGGACTATCAGCCTAAACCCTGGCCTCTCAACTTGGACCCTGGCCTCTTAATCTCGACCCTGGCCTCTCAACCTGGACCTTTGCCTCCTAGCCTGGACTTTGGTCTCTCAGCCTCCACCCTAGCCTCTCAAAATGGACCCCGGCCGATCAGCCTGGAACCTGGCCTCTCAAATAGGACCTTGGCCTCTCATTCTCGACCCTGGCATCTCAATCGCGACCCCGGCCTCTCAATCTCCACCCTGGCCTCTCAATCTCGACCCTGACCTCTCAATCTCGGCCCTGACCTCTCAATCTCGAACCTGGCCTCTCAACCCGGACCCTTGCTTCTCAATCTGGACTTTGGTCTTTAAGCCTCCACCCTAGCCTCTCAAAATAGACCCCGGCCTGTCATCCTGGACCCTGGCCTCTCATCCTGGACCATGGCCTCTCGGCCTTAACCTTGGCCTCTCAACCTGGACCCTGACCTCTCAATCTCGAGCCTCTGGCCTCAATCTCGTCCCTGGCCTCTCAATCTTGACCTTGGCCTCCCAACCTGGACTAAGGTCTCTCAGCCTCCACCCTAGCCTCTCAAAACGGACCCCGGCCTTGCAGCCTGGACCCGTCCTCTGAGCCTGGACTCGGACCTCTCAGCCTTAACCCTGGCTTCTCAACCTGGACCCTTTCCCCACCGCCTGGACATTGGCCTTCAAACATTGGCCCAACATCCTTGATGTTTTCCCAACATCAAGGATGTTGGAAAAAAAACGAAATTTCTTTGAAAATTTTAATCTGGAATAAGGCATTTTGGCTAAATTACTGTAATTTCTAGCAAGTTTCTCGGACGTCTTATTGTTGCTAGCAAAATTAATGCAAAAAATGATAATTAACTATGCCAGTTATTTAATATCATCCATATTTTGCGCTCAAAAGACAAAAGGGATCATACAGTCGCGTTTAATGTAGAGGTCTCGTAAGACTGTAAGACCAAGTGGACTGAAATGTCGCCTTGCATTTTTTTCAATATTCCATACTTAGTGGCCCTAATCACTAGGAATTTTAAGAAATTTATTTTTACGTGCTATAAAATATGTGGTCGTTGAAGCTTTTTTGTTTTGTGTCGCTTGCATTTCTTCCTTGAATGATCCTTGTATCGCACATTCACTCTTTTCCCCTTCATTAATATTATTTTACCTGCTTTCACTTATTTGCTTGCTGATCTTTGTTTTTTTTTCAGTGATTTACGAACAAATATTTGGATAATCATTCATCGGTCGTGGAATTTAAAACATGAGTATCGAATGTATGAAATAAAGTCGTATATAATACTATCATGCCTATTATTATTGTCTAAGTCTATCATTATTGTGCTTAAATTGTTAACAAAAAACATCAGTTTTTTTGGACTCTTTTATTATTTATACCATAATCTGTCGAACAGGAGAAGGAGCTTTTTGGAGACTCTTTATTATTTATTCCCTAAATCTATTGAGCAAACGAAGGTATACAAAATATTATCACCGCGTAACGTCAAAGTTCGTCCTCATTTGTTAATTAATAAATTGAGTTATAAATCAGGCGAAAATCAGTCTTTATATGCAAATTAAGATCAGGGCTAATAATCTTAGTCCCACATATCAATTATTCGCATATATACACAAGGATCGGACTGAAGTCATCAATATCCGCGGTGCATGATTTGTCAGAACTTCTAAGAAATTTTCCAGATATTTCCGAATTTTTAATTCGTATTCAATCTATCTATTTCCTGTAATTATATCAATCAAAATCTCATATCTTAAATCTAATTGAACTACATTGAAAAACCTTTACATGTAACTTTAAATACTTTAGAAAAATCATTAATATATTGAAATTTGAAAACAACTGCTTTGCGGAACTGCTTTTCCATCAATTAACTAATTTACTGGTGGAGAAAATGTGGAAGACTTTATTCATAAATGCATTCGCTTGTCATCAATAATACTTGTATAATGAAACATTTTACTTTTACAACGTATCCTATGTAACAGAACGTATCTTAGGAAATACAAAGCAACCTACGTAATACAACGTATCCTACGTAATACATCGTATCCTACGTACTGCAACGTATCCTACGTAATACAACGTATTCTACGTAATACAACGTATCCTAAGCAATACAACGAATCTTACGTAATACAAAGTATCCTACAAAATACAACTTATCCTACGAAATGAAACTTTGAGGATACTTTGTATTACGAAGGATACGTTGCATTGTATAGGATACGTTGCATTTCGTAGGATCCGTCGCCATTAACAAAAAACTACATGAAATGAGAGATTTGAGCGCAGCGACTCGGTTGCTCACTGAACACTGATGTATCGTAAGTTTGAGTGTTTGACAGCGGCACAGCTCGCTACCGCCGCGCGGAGCTGCTCACTTGGCTCTCAAAGTGTATACGTAGTTTGCTAACTGATCTACCTTAATAATTATAGATCAAAATAGCTAAAATATTATTGATCTGACAACAAGAATAGATCTCAGTTGAAGAGTATCTCGACAGACAAGGCTGTGAGATTCGTGGTTATTTTTTTACGGAATTTATTACAAATTAGGGCGTTTTCCCGCAAACCAGTGCAGATTAGGTTTAATTTACACAGACCATTTTCCACGCATAAGTTTATAGAATGCTAACCGATAAGGACATAATTAAAAGTAAAGTTATTTATTGGCATTACGCTTATCGCACAAGTTCTGTAAATTATGAATTACTTTTGTCCCATTCTTTTTCACGGAGAGCACTAAACGCCAAGTTAATTAGTCGTACAAGCTACAAAAAGACGTTAATTAAAACTAAGCGTACCTATAGCACAATACGAGAAAACGAAGTGAATAAAAATGATTAACAATTTACTGATATTAGGCGAAGAACGTTGTCAGTAAATAGCTTAAAGTGTAAAGTAAAGTGTATAAAACTATACTCAATTCAGCTATATTATTCGTGGAAAACAATTTGCGAAAATTTGTTAAAAAAGTGTCAGGCGGTCTTCACTGTCTGATCTCCCTCCCCACCCCCTCCCCGGACATAGACATTGATTCAGACATGTCTGAATCTGGCACATTCGTCAGATGACGCGGTTAAATGACTATTTACCTAAACCTACTCCGCTTCATCTTCCTAAGGCTAAGCCAAATTAAGAGATGGGGTGAACCAATTTTTTTGGCCAAATCACATAGCTGAAATTGATTTAGTGAAACGTCCACCTGGTTATAGTACAGCCTAATATTAAGCTCGATATATTTCTCCATTTAAATAAATGAGCTTCGTACATAAAAGAACAACGCAATTTTGAAAGGCAACGTATATGTGCAGTTGGACGCTAAAGGGCTTCCGCCACAGGTCAACCTTGAGGATGACCGTTGGACCCTTGGTTGAACTAGTATGAGGTTGACGCATGAGAAGCTCATTTTTGAGGATGTAGTTTGTTTTTCGCCTGTGTCGTCACTGATCTCAGTGACGTCGCGGGCATTAGCCATTCACCGAAATGCGATCAAACCAGTTAACCAATCCGTCATGGGAATGACGGGATTGTTTACGTTTCTCGATGTCAGAGACGTAACAAAAAAGCTGAACTGAAAGTCGGAAATCCTCGTAGGTCAACCTTATATAGTTCAACCATTTTTGGACCTGTGATTTTGGGTACTTTTGCACCTCTTGGCGAGGAAGTTGACCGTATTCTGATTTGTTAATACATACAATAATCAGAATATGTTATGTATCTACATTCTAAACAAGAATACATAACTGTAATATTGTTGATGAGAGTTCAGTGGACGTGATGGCTCAGCGTTACAGCATGTAGGTCAGAGGCGTCACTACGGTTTGGTGGACAGGGGAGGGCTAAGCCCACTAAGATTGATGATCATATTTAATTTCTAATGACTGGTTAAATGATTATTCATTTACATTTATATCTAGGCGCTTTATATTGTGAGAAAACATCATTATAAAATCTCTCATAGATCGACTGGTTTTTCAGGGGGGAACGGTATCTGGCGAGAGCAAAAATTTATTAGGGCAATTCATATAGAATACAGGCATACACAGGATATAAACAATAATTATACAAAACACAAGCGGAGTATTGCAGTTATAGGTGTCGTGGCTGAAACTCAGCAAATTATTGAGGTGAAGCTCGGACCATGAGACTAGTTCTGTATCTCATCGATAAGAGATGCCTACCTCAGATGAAATGCCATGATAAGCTACCGTAAAACGGGGTGACTTGGACCATTTTGACATTTGAAAAAAGAAAACCCTAGACTTAAAAAGTTCTTACCTTAGGAAAATTGTGTTGATGGTTCTTGAGTACCGTGAGAAGTACCTCCAAATGCAATAAAAAGATACGTTTTATATCTATGTGACTACTATTTGTTAAAGAAAATCTTCAAAAATTAGGCGCTAAAAATGGTCCAAGTGACGTTGCTTTACAATACGAATATCGGACAAGGGGTGAGAAATAATTTGAACATCGTGAGCACAAAAAATTCTTGATATTAATAAATGAACATAAAATTATTTAGAAGGCCCAAGCCTCCCAAAAATGATCTAATGACGCCACTGTTTTCGGACATAAGTTCCCCCTCTTCCTTGTTGGCAATGGGTGCCTTGGGTTAGGTACCCTAAATAGCTTGGTCCTGTTGTCTTAAAAGATCACACGTTCTTCACTTGTTTCCTGTGTCAAACTTCCTAGATTCACATGCATCCTCACACCTGGGTCACTGAAGCAGTTTCTGATGGCCTCTAGAGAGCAGATGCTGTTCAAACATGCATATCCGATACACTTAGAGCTCAGATGGGTCTTTTTGAGCTGAATGCCTGCGTAAAAAATGTCTTTTCAAGTACCTTTTTGTGGTGCAAGCATGATCACACTCATATCACACTCAGAGCATTGTACAGGTTTTTCCGTTGAATGTTTACAAAGAAAATGTCTTTTCAAGTTCCCTTTTGTGGTGCAAGCATAATCACACTTGGGACAGTGAACATTCTTTTCTGTTGGATGTTTGAAGAGGATATGAGTTTTCAAGGTCCCAGTTGTGGTGCAAGCATAATTACACTCGGAGCACTGAAAAGGTTTTTCCGTTGAATGTTTATAACGCCAGTGTCTTTTCAAGTCGCCTTTTGCAGAGCAAGCATAATCACACTTGGAGCACTGAAAAGGTTTTTCTGTTGAATGTTTACAACGTAAATGTCTTTTTAAGTTGCTTTTCGTGATGCAAGCATAATCACACTTAGAGCACTGAATAAGTTTATCTGTTGAATGTTTATAACGCAAATGACTTTTCAATGTCCCAGTTGTTGTGCAAGCATAATTACACTCGGAGCACTGAAAAAGTTTCACTGTTGAATGTTGGAAGAGGATATGACTTTTCAAGGTCCCAGTTGTGGTGCAAGCGTAATCACACTTGGAGCACTGAAAAGGCTTTTCTGTTGAATGTTTGTAAAGAAGATGTCGTTTCAAGTCCCATTTTTTGGTGCAAGCATAATCACACTCAGAGCACTGAAAAGGTTTTTCTGTTGAATGCTTGTGAAGAAAATGTTTTTTCAAGTCACTTCTTGCAATGCATGCATAATCACACACAGAGCACTGATTAGGTATTTCTGTTGAATGTTTGTAGAGAAAATGTCTTTTCAAGTTCATATTTGTGGTGCAAGCATAATCACACTCAGAGCAGCAAAATCTTTTCAGCGATGAATTAATTGATAAAGGATGAATTGAAGATTTGGATTTGATATGCTTTTGCATTGTTTCACTTGTGGTACCTGATTGTTTACAGGCTGGGAACTTAAATGATGTTTCCATCGAATGCAAAGAATTATTGTGCTGCTGTAGACCACTCCCTGAAGTAGAGGTGTATTCACAGCAGCGGTGGGGTCCTGATGCAGGATGTTCCAGATTAGTGTGCTGCTGTAGTTTGCTTGCACCTGCAGACACCAATCCATGCTGGTGACATACAATCCTGATGTGCTGCTGGGAGGTGGACAACCCAGAGACGTCAGCATCGCCATCAGAGTCCCTTGATGCTGGTGCAGATGCACCTTCGCCAAACTAATAATGAAAATACAAAGTAAAACAATCTTCAATATTAATAAAAGCTACATTGAACTGTTGACTTTCAAGATTGATCCTCAGTAAAATGCATTATATTTTGTGATAGAAATAAAAATTGTGATAAAACTTTTCCAAATTAGTGAATTTTCACCTAGATTGTTTTGGTTCATGCAAGAATTACTCAGTATTAATCATTGGTCTAAGCAAATAAATGAGTTACAATTACCTGGTCTCAACTTAAGCAGTAGATTCTGGCTTGACCAATTCAAACACAGATAAAACTTCAATGAAAATGATAAATCGTGTTTCGAGTTTGATGCATTACTTTCACGTTATCTCAGGTACATTAATTTTAAATTTGGAAACTGATTTTCATTAGGGCTATGGTTTTGCCAATGACACTTTGTAAGCAAGGTGATGCCCAATCTTTTAAACCACTAAAATAAAGAAACCTAAAGCAACACCCTCATAATACCACACACATCCCCATACTGTTACCACTCTCAAGTCAAAATCAAGAACCCAACTTCTTCTAGTTAAACACAACCTAAAAATCCTTGGCAAAACTTTTCATGCCATACTCCCTTTCATTTCACCGCCCATAAAAAAACTACCATAGCACAAGCCTCAGAACGCAATAACATACCAAAAGCCCTATTAGGAACATTGTATGGACATGACAAGGACTACCTCTACAACAACCTTACTAATCCATCTATTCTCCCATAATTGACGCCTGTCCAATATGGACCTCTATATCTTCTTCCACAAACTAAACACCTACAAATGGTTTAAAATGTCATCTTACATACAATAACTGGTTGCCACAACAAACCAGCAAACAATATCGTCACTCTGAATTTCAAATCCATGATCCATGTTAGGAGTAATCAAATGTATGGCCATCTTTTTCTAAAAATGAAAAATGGATTGATGTACAAGAAAATGGCACATGTACCCAGTCTCTCTACCAGTACTTGTTAGGCGTCTATTACATGCAATAAATTAACAATAACATGGAGCAATGGTGATTTAAAAAGAAATTAGAGCATCTCTAAAAAAATCATTGCTCAGTGTAAATTTGAAAAAGCTTAAATTACCTATACTTACCTGATTTGACAACAGAGTGGAAATGTTCTGTGAGGAGTTTGGGTGGGCGTCATGCGCCTCAACTTGAGCTTCCATCTTGCACGGCACATAAGAGGAGTGTGCACGCGCAGGGCTGAGATGTGCAGTTGAACAAGACTGGGAAATAGTGGAGGACAATGTTGATGTAGCAGGCAGCGATGTGTGAATTTTACAAGGAAAGATATAGTATGTGACTCTTGTGACTTACTAGGAGAAGTGGAGGACTATGTTGATGTGGCTGGCAGTGATGAATGCATTTTACAACAAAAGATATAGTATGTGACTCTTGTCTCTAACTGGGAGAAGGGGAGGACAATGTTGATGTGGCTGGCAGTAATATGTGCATTTTATGAGCAAGGAAATAATATAGGTACACTCTAATATAATTCCCTGCAAGTTCTTAATTTCTCTATAGCACATCACAAATAACTGGATTTGAAGCATCTTCTCATATCAATGCTTCACAATGCAAATATTTCCCTTGCCAGTTTTCAAATTAAAATGGAGATATAAAGATAAGAGGCAACTTTAGAGACAAGTACACACATTTAAAAAGTATTTTATATAAATTGGCATTAACAAATGTCGAAGGAAATTCTTTATTTGAATTGTACTGACGTCTCATCATCTATTAGACAACAGACAACTATGGAGAAAAAATTGATGAGTTTGGGTTTAGAATAGCACACCTAATGCAAGTAATTACAAATTAAATTTTCATAATTTTCACCCAATTATTGAATGAAGATGAGGGTGCATCATGCCTAATTATAACTGCACAATATTTCAGATTTACTATTTGGTTAAGATCTGTCTCCTGATGCCTAGTTTGGAGATTTGATTACAGAAGTAGCACTGTGCTTATTTTTTATGGAATTTTATGCAGGAATTTTTGAAATGCTTTGCTAAACATTTAGTTGCACATCAACTCCACTTACTTCATTTCCATATAAAAATGGTTCATCTTTGATGTATACTTCTTCACTTTCAAACTCAGGCTCCTCCTTGATAGAGGCAGCAGAAACTTTGAGGACTGGCATACGGTCAACCTTTTCCAAGGCTGGAAAATATGAACATTAGTGTACAGGTATCACTGAAATATGAAGCAAGCTATCTCACAGTAAATATAATGCTCACAAAGTTAATGAGTCATGTAAGCTATAGATGTGAGCTATCTATAAATACTAATATCGCTCAGATAAGTGAGACTTAAGTGACAAATTCACATACATAGTTATCAGATCTTGTATTGAAACTCCTAAGAATTGAAAATTTAATCAATAAATTGATTTAACCTCAGTTCTTCCACTGTATAATAATGAATGATTTGTGAGGCACATGGAATCTTGCTCACCTTTATGGGCCCCAGGAGATACCTGAGTGAGGCTTGGCTCAGGGCATCTGCCACTCATGACTGCAGCATTGGAGAGTTGGTGCAGCACAACACTGCATTCTTTGGTGATGAATGCCATCACCAAATGTGATGCTAGTTATAAATCACTAAGGTTGAAGTTTTTAAACTATATTGTTGACAGCAATAGTAGTAACACTGGAGGGATACAGGAAATTGTAAAGTGCGATAGAGGCAGAAAAGTGGGCTTTAATTTTAACGTATGCAACAAAATTCATTTGTCCCAAGTTACTAAGCACACAATTAATTGCTTTATGCATGCATCAGCAATATTTGATACATAACACTTGGCAATGTTTGAATGTGGCATATATAATAGAAAATGTCTTGAAATAGACATAGAATTCAACATCATAGACATCAAAGCCATATTTTGGTTCCAAAAACATGGCTATCAATATTTTGTATATACCTAGAAATATATCAAACAATTATTATTAGTTTGCACAGTTGACTAGAAAATAGAAGTACTGATGGACATTTTTAATTTGTTAACAATGTTAAACCTGCTAAAAGAACAAATTCTTCCAAACAATACCTACATAGAAGTATAAGCATTGCTAAATTGAGGTTCTATATCAAAGGTGTTAAAATATCTGAACTCTATTTCATCTTCATCATAACATTAGTTATTAGAACCTAATCATCTAATCATTAAGCAATACTTATTTGTTATTATAGATGTATTTGCTTAATTGACCATTACACATCAATGTATTCAATAGTGTTAAAATCATATTTATTAATGCTTGTATACATTAATGAACACAATAACTGTGTCATTCATAACTGAGTCAACACAACTGTTATTGCAATGTAGTACAGAAACAATGGAGAATACATCAAGTTGCAGAGATTTATAGTGGTTTTTTATTTCTTTAGAATTGTAACAATCAATTATTTGACAGAAAAGTCTTGCTGGGAATTCCAAATTTGCTCTTCAGCTCAGCTGAAATTAAAGGTGGTGGCCTCTTTTATTCTTCCTGGTGGCACAAAACAGATGGTGTGCATTGAGGGAACATGACATGGTGTGGTAAATAAATGCACAACTAAACAATAATATTTCTCTTAAAAAGTGGCATAAAGCTCATTTGACAGAAAAATTGAGTGATTCATTAGTTTTTGCATTGCACAATAGGCCATGGCTGTTGTTGTCATTGCCCATCCTGGTAGTGGCTACTAGATAAGGGAGAAGTAATAGGTCAGTTTTTCAGGACACTAAGGCCAAGTCTAAGTCTAGTTCCATGACCATGACTTGCTAACCCGCCAGAATCATTTTATTGCATTATGCTACACCTTGGACAAGTCATTACATGCTCTATTGCCACTAAATGTATGTATTGCTATTTCTAGAATAAAATTGAAAATTTTGCATAATATGTGTGCACAACCCAAGTCTGTAGCCCAAAATGGCTTTTCGCAACCTGAAAAAGGCATTTACTGTTTAAAATTTCATGAATTTGCAGCTTCAATAATCCACTTGCAGCTTGGCAAGCTAATCTGAAATACTGGATAGATTTCCAAAACTTGGGGGCTAATACAATCATTTCACATTTCTTTTAATAATAATCAAAAATCTGTTTTTTCTCTTATTTTACAACTTATTTTACATTGGAGAAGATGTGGAAGGTTCATAATAACAGGTGAAATAGACATTTGTGCAGAGGTGGGCAGTAGTGCGCTACATGTAGCGGCTGCTATATTTTCAGTAGCGGTAGCGGCGCTACATCTAAGGCAATGTAGCGGTAGCACCCGCTACATATTAAAGTAGTGATACGATGTTTTGCTGCCACAGCGCTACCGCTACATTTATAGATAAAACATTTAGATTATACTTAATAGTATTAAATATTATTTAAAAACCAGCATGATACATAATATAAATTACAGAATAAAACTGTACGAAAGATTTTGGTGTAATGTTGTCAACCTCAGCCTGTTACTAGTGTCAACATGTTAGTTGTTACTGGTTACCAGTTACCACTTACAGGTATTTTTTCAGGTTTCAGTTTGCTTACAGTTATTTTTACAGTTATTTTTATGTTTCACCTTCCCTACATGGATGTCTACTTTAATCTACTAATCTCAAAAATAATCCACATATATACAAATAAAAGGCTGATTTTTTATATGTATATGCAGCTAATTTTTGAGATTGGTAGATTAAAGTAGACATCCATGTAGGGAGGGTAGAACTTAAAAATAACTGTAACTTTTATTTCCTGTATAAAACCCATACTAGTTTGGTTAGGTTAATTGCAATAAAGTTGCATTGATCTGTTTTCAAAATGTTTTATTATCATTAAATGGTGCTGTATGTTTAATGTTTAAAAAAATAAAATAAAAAATAATATAAATGTTTAATGTTGTAAACATTATATTAAACTGATCAATGTTGTATGAGGTGTTGGTGTTTAAACATTCCTCGCACCGCCAATAAATACTTGACTTTATTTGGGATAGGTTGAATTGTTATGTAACTTATTTTGCTAAAATCAAGTCTATGATATAATAAGCTCCAGGTTAATCTTTTGGCACACCTTTTACATACATTATTAGAAATAATGAATAAGCTTGAATTAACTGTCGATGATCTTTTACCTGGCTCATCAGTAACACAGACTGTGGCGGTATGTTTCATAACCAACCATACCACAAATTGCGGTATGTTTCATAACCAATATGACTTCAAAACTGCCTCTGTATTCGAGGCAATAAAACACCAACAATGAAAACTATAAAGCATGTGAATGTCGTACATGTGTTTAATCAATATTGCATGATATCTGCAACTAGTTATATAATCACAATTATAAAGTTGATATTTTGACCATAAACAACTGCACGGGAAAACTGACACCAATGATGGAAGTGAAAATATAAAGCTTAATTGTCAATGTGTTTTTACGTGAGTTATATCATAAAAGCATAAAAATTTAAATTTGTGCATTTTTTAGGAACATTTAAGCCATTATAAATTTTTGTTAACTATTAAATTCCAACTTGCATGTAAATTTAACGCTATACTTATTGGTCCTGCCATGACGTCATCCACCTAGCAGCATTGGCTGTCAATGGCTGAGCAAAAATAGAGAGAACTGTTGAGAAAACGGCAAACAAACGTTTTAGAACAATTAGTTTAGCTACATTGGGCGTTTTAGACAGTTGAGATGTCTGCAACTAACGCACTGATTTATTTCTGTGTATTACTTGAAAAAAACGTTGCACTCAATTTGCTTCCATTATTGTGTAAACTTGAATACAAAATAAAAATTTTTAATGACCAAATAATTTACAAAAAAATTTTTAATGCTTGTTAATTTCATGATTTTTACATGAATTTGCTTTTTCAGCATCATTCCATTGTACATCTTCTTATTGATAACCCTGATTAACAATATGTGTTCATATATCATAGAAATGCTTTGTCTTGATGGCAGTATGAACCTGAGCTATGCTCATTTGGAAATGCAATGTAGGGATTAGTCATGCACTTTTCACAGCAATATAAGTGACAGTAGTAACTAGTAAGAAAAATATGGCCCCATAAAGTCACTCCAGGCTTTCTGTCAATTTCAAGCTTGAAATCCCAACACAAACCCTCCCCCCTGCAGGGAGGTTGTGGTTGGCAGCTTCACAGTTACCACATGAAAACACACAAAAACACACATGCACGCACACATTTTGCTTGAAAGGTCAGAAATTTATTTAATTAACTGTTCAAAAGCATTTAACATTAATATTTTTACTCCATATTAATGATGAGATATGAACTTGTATCAGCTTGTTTGGGTTCTCATGTAAATTTGAACAAGAAAGTTGCTTTGACATGTAAATCTCATGTAAATTTGACAGAAAGTTGCTTTTCAGAGGACCATAGTCGAAAAAATTGTATTTGATGCATTTAGTTGAAGCTCATCAGATGTATTTATAAGCAATAAATTATTTATTGAAGTAGAAGGGGATGAAGTGTAACAAAATATTAATTGTGTTTACAATTCAAAACACCATCATTATCACCCCTCATTTATTTTGCAGTGATCCATTTTATTCAGGAAGGATTTATGCAATGAATGGTGCAATTGATACAAGTCATGCTGGAATCATGTGGAGACAAATGATGATTTCTAATTTATAATCTTTCTATCATTACATTTAGTTTGTAGTGAAGCTAACACTTGACTAGTATGATAGCTGTGCAATATTCACATGCTGCTGACAATAGAAAGTAACATGTTTTGCAAGTAAAATAGTTTTTATGATGCACTTCCATTTGCTCTTTCCAGAACAGTGCTTCAACATCAACAATTTCAAAATGTCTTCAGGGATCCAAGTAATCAAAATGCACTTGCTTCTTCCTTTTACTTTCATCTGGCCTTTCACCTGATAGAAGTATGAATGCCATCTTTTCACAGTAATTGTTCCCTTCAGTGTTGTCACTGACAAATAACAACTGAACACTGTAATTGAAACATCTTGGCCCTTTGAAACCACCACCCTTGAAAGCACTTGGGAAGGGGAGTTAGGAAGTGGGGAATGGAATTTTTGCTCTTCATTGGGGATTTTGTGGGCTGGCAAGACCATGAGTTAATTAGTGTCAGTGCGTCACTAATTGTATAAAATTGATGAATGATAATGGAATATTGATGAAGATATTTAAATTATTGATTAACCTGTGGAAAAATTTGGCTGTATATGTCTGACTCAGTCAGAGTAATGAAAGGTGAATAACAATAAATGTTAGGTCAAAAATTTGTAATAAAAGTTAATGCAAAAATTCTTGCTCATCATTGCCATTCATGATGGTTCCTCATACCAGGGTTGGTGATTTTTTTTACTTAAAAAAATCAAAAAAATAAAAAATCAATGATTTTTTTATTTTTTCATGATTTTTTTAATTATTTGATTTTTTTCAGCTTTTTTGTCTTTTGGAAAGGTTATTTTTTATGTTGCAATTAGCCTACTAACAAAAACAGTATATAGATCATAATGGATGGCTAAAAAGGGCACTTATTGCCTTCAATAATGGCCAACAGGCCAAGGTGGTGTTTACCACTGTGGGATTTTTGGGTAAACAATTATTGAAGTCTATTAATTAGCTTTGTAAAGTTTGTATGGAGCAAGGTATTGAGC